GGAGTCGTACAAGGAACTTCCAAAATTCCTGGTGGCTCTTAAACACTACTCTCCGGGAACTGTTGCGATATTGGAGACAATGCCTGCATGTACACCAGACGATACTTCCGTTGCTGGAAATGGAATTTTTCACCGAGTCTTTTGGGCGTTTGAACCATGCATAAAAGAGTTTGCATATTGTAAGCCTATAATTCAAATAGACGGAACATGGTTATACGGGAAATATAAGGGCACACTTCTCATGGCTGTGGCACAGGATGGGAACAACAACATTTTTCCAATAGCATTCGCTATAGTCAAAGGGGAGACTGTTGGGGGTTGGAGTTTTTTCTTAAAAAACCTCCGCTGTTATGTTTCTCCGCAACATAACTTATGTTTGATCTCCGATCGACGCCCATCAATCGAGAGTGCATACAACAACGTTGACAACGGTTGGCAGGGTCCTCCCTCGACCCACGTATATTGCATAAGGCATATCGCCCAAAATTTCACGCGGGAAATCAAAGACAGGACGCTACGGATGAAAGTTGTGAACGCGGGATATGCACTAACTGAACCCACTTTCAGATACTATCGCGACGAGATCAGACTGACAAACGCAGATGTTGGAAGATGGATTGATAACATTGATAGGGAGAAATGGACGCAGGCATACAACAATGGGGTGCGATGGGGCCACATGACAACTAACCTCGTCGAATCAATGAATTTTGTTTTCAAGGGAATCCGAAACTTCCCAATAACTGCCTTGGTAAAGGCAACCTATTTTAGGTTAGGATCACTCTTTGATAGCAGACGTACGAAGTGGGGTTCGGTATTACAATCGGGTCAGCTGTACAGCGATACTTCAATGAAATTCATGAAAGAGGAAGCTGCCAAGGCCAACACACACGTGGTGACAATCTTCGACCGTACAACTGGTCGGTTCAGTGTTGTCGAGTCTATGGATCACAACGAAGGAAGGCCGAGGGGATGTTACCGTGTTGAATTGGATAAGGGCTGGTGTGATTGTGGAAAGTTTCAAGCATTTCGTATGCCTTGCTCTCATGTCATAGCAACATGTTCGAAGTTGCGCCAGGACCCAACCAACCTTCTTTCTGTAGTTCACCAAGTCATTAGTTTATGCAATGTCTATGCATGCAGCTTTCAAGTGGTGGCAAAGGAGGACTATTGGCCTCAATACGAAGGCAAAATTGTTTGGCATAATGACTTGATGCGCAGACAGAAAAAGGGTCGGCCTAACAGCACGCGCATTCGAACTGAGATGGATACCGCAGACAAGCTGGTGAGATTGTGTAGTTCGTGTCAGCAACCAGGACACAATCGAACAAAATGTCCTAACGTAGGATCAAGCAGCAAATCACAGTATCAAATGTAATCTCTTCCCGTTAAATCATTATCAACTTTCATTCGATTAATATCAACTTTTATTCCATTAATAGAAAATTTCATTAGAATAATACCAAGTTTCAATCAATTAAAAGCATACTTAACTGACATAACAACAACATGAAAACAGAACACTGCACCAAGACAACATAAATTAAACAAACATAACAATAACGTAAATACTTAAAGCATAACACTGCACCAAGGCGTCTACGATATCACGACCATCAACTTTATCTTCTTTGGTGTCAACATCATCACAAGGACACCGACATCATTTTTCACTTTTCTCCATTCACAAGTCACTCCGTTTCTCCCGGTCTCCTCGACTAGCCTCTCGATTTTCCTAATCTTTTCTTCTGGGGCAATATCTCATTCTAGCCAGCGGTTCAGTTCCCTATGCAAGTGCTCCAACGTCTGCGTATTTCACAGGAGCACCTTCATCGGAGGCTTGGTTGCTGAAAACACAACTACGACGTTTCTTTTCATTAGATCGAACTCTGGAAACAGTTCCTCTGATGTTGATGACGACGACGAAGAACGTTGATTTAGAAATGCAGACATTCTAGACTTCACTCCTCTCAAATTTAGTCTTTTGGTATACAATGTTGTGAAAACATATATGTGTTTACAGTCGTATTTATAGAAAAATACAATATTACGTGCCCCATATGAAATGTCTTAAATACCCTTACAATTTTTACGTTTTAAGTTTTGGTAAACAATTTTTAAATAATCTTTTGGTAAACAATTTTTACGTTTTACAATTTATAATTTAAATCAATTTATACGCTTTTAAATAATTTATAATTTAAATACCTTAAATCTTTATTTTAAATAATTATTTAAATTAATTAAACCTTCTTTTTTATAATTACTTAAATTTATTAAAATCTTTATTTTAATTACTTATTTAAATTTATTAAAATCTTTATTTTAAATATAAACAAAATCAAAATTAAAAAATAAACGAAATTTGGAAACCCAATTAAACCTCGTTCGCCAATTGAAAGGGCGAAATTGTTTGGGCTCAAACTCATTTACACAAATTCGCCAATTGAATTGACGAGTTACTTCAAATGCTTTTAGTCTAATTCGCCAATTGGTATGACGACCGTCTGTTGATTGTTAGTTGTTTTGATAAATATTTTGAAACATTAATCTCCATATGAAATAGAAAACAATACATGGTTATTGTAAAAAAAAAATTCACCAAATTACAACATATTAAATACACATGAATTAACTTTTTTTTAATAAATCTTTGTACTTTTAAATAAATTAATTTGCCAGACCAATGTTAGTAATTAGTTAGCATTTAGTTCGTTAGTTAAAATTTGTTTTATTTTAATTTGTATTTTAAACTCATATTAAGAAGTGTCTTAATGTGAATTTATGGGAGGCTAATAAAATATAAAAATTAGTTAACATTTACTTTGTTAGTTAAAGTTTATTATTCGATAGTTAATTTCTTAATTACAATTTATTACAAGTTGTAATATTTGTTGATTACTTAGAGTTTGTTATAAATTCTGTCAACTTGTTAGTAATGTCTTACAAGCTTTATATATACGGCAACAATGTTTTATAAAACGAAATTAGACAATACCCAATACTTTATAATGTGAGTGAAAATATTTTTTTTGGACCAAAACTAAACAGTGTTGATTAATTAATTTTATAAAACGTGTTTGATTGTGTTTCTAGAATAGCCTTTTTTCTTAAATGAATTGGAACAAAAGGCTATAAAAAATTGTATCCCTTTCAATTGATATGATACTACCTACCTATCACACCAATTAAAAATTTATTGCTTAATACAGTAGTAGTTGGGCGATGAGGTAAAAGAATACATAACCATTGCGTTTATACTACTTCAAAGTTCTATAAAGTGCTAGTTTCAAGATTGTGGTCCCAATCACTTAAAAATTGCAAAAAAAAAATTAGGTAGACAATAATGAATGAAAAATATGGCACATGCATTTAGCAATAAAAGAAAAAAAATAAAACAAGTGTATTAATAATATTCCAACACAAGACAGTAGTAGTACCAAGTAAAAACAAAAGATTGAAGTGTGAGGTGAGGGAGTACTGTACCTAAGGGAAAAAAAAGTAGGATTTTGAAGGGTGTTTTTGATGATAAAAACTGAAAAAGAAAATTGGCTTTGTAGAGGCATTGTCAAGAGTGGACGTGACATGAAGGAGTGGGTAAGGCCCATACAGCGTCAGTTTTGCTACAAAGGCTGTTTTTATTGCATAAAGGGTTTTATTTACAGTGATTGGCTGCAGAATGTACCCGTTTACCCATCAATGTGATCACTACACATTCAATGCATATATAGTATTCTTGTTCATTCATCAAATCATGCACAATCATAAATACTACTAATAAATTTGCTTAATAGTAATGCACTTACCACTCCACGTCATCACTAGTAATACTAGGGTTTCCAATAATTCTACAAGGTTTGAAGAATTACTTGCTGCATTTGCGCATAGAATATACCTAATTCATAAAGAAAAATGACAAATTAAAAATAAGAGTGTGCGGGTGAGCTTGCTAAATTCCATTAAATTTATGTTAATGGTTATGCTTTTAAAAGAAAAAAAGAAGATATCGAGGTGAATATAATAGGAGATGCATGTCTACAAATTTGACTTGATCTGCGAAAAATGACAGTGATGTGGTAGAATAAAAAAATGAATAAGAAAAATAATTTAACCCTAGGAAAAAAGGTTGAGCAAAGAGAGGTTAAAATTTGAAAAAGAATCTAAGTAGCTTTATTAAGGAAGAATGATGTACTTGGATTCTCTTGGGTTACTTTATATTGAAGTTGATATTGGTTTATGTTTTGTCATTTTCTTATGTGTACTATGAATATGGTGACAATGTGTGTATATCTATGGTTGTGCAATTTTTCATGTAGTAAAAAAATAGAGTAAGAGTGATATAATAATAATAATAATAATAATAATGCATGTAATAACCTAATATTAAATATAGTATAGAGAAGGGGGAGAATTTTAAAACACTTTATTATGCTGGTACTTTTTGATGGTAATCTAAATGTTTCATTATAAAGTGATACAATTTAAATTTATTCATATACAATGATATCAGTTGATTCGAACTCAATACATCTGATTAAGTTGAAAGAAACTCTTATCATAACGCAGAGAATATTTAATAAATTTTTTAGAAGACAAAGAAAGAAATAAATATTTTTCTTTTGCCATTGTTCTACTACTATGCCCCAAACAAAAACAGTCCCATAAGAAAATGTGTGGAATAAGAATTGCAAATAACAACAAAGAGAAAATGTAATTGACCTATCAAAAAAACAAAACCCCATGTAGAGTGAGAGAAAGCAGTGTTATGGCACCACTACACTGTGTTTGTTTCTGCACATAAAATAAAAATAAAAAAAATAAAAAAGTATTTTTTTTAATAGTTTATAAAATATTTTATAAAAAATGGAAGTAATTGAAAACTCGTCAAACAAAAACAAAAACACAGACATAAACACAAACACAGACAGAGTACTCAATTATTTGTGTCCATTCCTTCTTCCCATATTGTTCCTGTGTGTTCTGTTTTGAACTTGTTGAAGATGCCGCGGCCAGGGCCAAGGCCATACGAGTGTGTGAGAAGAGCTTGGCACAGCGAGCGTCACCAACCCATTAGAGGTTCTATCATTCAACAGATTTTCAGGTTCTTACTTGTTTTTGTTTCTTCTTCTTCTTCATCTTGTTTTTTACTCTTCTGCATTTTCTGATTGCACACCATCTGTTTGATTAGGGTTGTCACTGAAGCTCACACTTCCGTTACTAAAAAAAACAAGGAATGGCAAGAGAAACTTCCTGTTGTTGTTCTCAAAGCTGAAGAAATCATGTATTCTAAAGCTAATTCCGAGGTTATGGTTTTTTATTTTATTTTATTTTTTTATTTTGTTTATTTTCAGATTTTTTGTTTTTTGGGTTGTAATGTGGTTTTGTTTTTGTATAAACCCTTTTGTTGATTTTTCTTGATTTGGTTTCTTAGGCGGAGTATTTGAACGCTGATACACTATGGGACCGTCTTAATGATGCTGTTAACACTATTATACGGAGAGATGAGACAACTGAAACTGGAGACCTTTTGCCCCCATGTGTTGAAGGTATACAATTTTTCATTTTTCTCTGGATCCACTTCTAAGGGTTTGTGTAAAAATCATATTTTGATGTCTCATTTAGTGGTTTTAAGCTGTTAGTGATGTTGTTTTTTTCGTTTTTGGTTTTCTGGGTACATTTTCTTGTGTTGTTGGTTGATCAGCTGCACTTAATCTGGGTTGCAAACCTGTTAGAACTTCGAGAAGTGATCGGCATAATAACCCTAGGACATACCTTGGTCCAAGACCTCAACAGGTTCCTTCAGGGTCTCCTAAGCCTGTTGTTGGAAATCCGTTAAACTATGGAAAAGTGACAACTTCTGCTCTTGCGCAGAATCCTGTAGCGGATTCTAACCAGCATGGCAATCATAATAGTAAGCTGAGTTGTTCTGGTAACTATCCTTACAGTTTCCCACCTGGTCATCACCAGCCATTGACAATGGAAGCTAAGCCCAACATGGGTTCGGTTTACCCTCTGTACTACGGTAGCGAAGTCAGAGAGCCTCAAGTAAGGAGAACAGCAGGTGATAATACCTCTTCCGACACGATCTTTGTTGGCAGACCAGTCATTGCTCCAGTCCCCGAGTCTTCTGGAATTGGTCTTTTGGAAAACTCCTCCTATGGTGGTAGATTTCAACATGTTGCTAACAGACTTGTACAAGAAACGGCTTTAGGCACTCAGGAGTCACAGGGCAGGGAATGTGATTTATCTTTGAGGTTGGGTCAGTGTCTGCAAACTTCTTCTAGCGGAAAAAGTAGTTCAGTATTTGAAATTGATGGTGTTGGTTTAGGTCTTTCTCATGATGGAAACATGTATAGTCAACTGTCTTTGCAGAGAAATAGAGAGGTATTTCTTTATCCTAGAGGACCTGGTTATGGTACCATTGACTCCAATTCTAGAGGCAATGTAGAGGGTGAAGATCAGAACTTAGAAGCAATGTATCGGAAGCGCAAAGCACCTTTAGCTAACAATGAGGAGGATGGGCAATTTTGCCGGCATTTAGGTGTCCCATCCAATCGTTTTACTGGTAGGCCAGGTTCGTAGAAAGTCTTTCTTGTTGTGTCATCTATGCTTTTGAAATTCAAGAGGATCCAAAATGTTGTTGAATCCTCTGATGTAGACTCTCTTCATGTGTAGCTCTGCTTGTGAAAAAATCTAGAAGCCGGTGTTGAGTTACTAGTTGCATTGCTGCAAATGTTAGCTGTATATAAAAATCTTAGCTTGCTTTCTTTGATTTCTGCTTTGACTTTTGTTAGATTAAAATCAAAAGTAGTCTCTGTGAGCAATCCTATTCTCTACCCTACTGAAGATTAAAGAATCGGTCTACTTTAAATTTGTTGCATGGCAACGACATGACCAATGTGCATTGCAATTGTTATACATGCTATCTCCACCAAGCCCGATTCATTGTGCCCGAGACTCTGACTTGCTAGCTGAAATTTCAATTTCTCAGTCAAGATCAGCTTCCTGACTAATTATGTTGTCTTTAGGAAGGTGTACTTTTCTTTAGCAAGTGATTGGTCACAAAAATAACAGGCTAGTGAGTCGTGACATTTTCTGTAGCACCGATACTTCTGAAAAAAGTCTGTCAATATCTGCACTGACACTTGTGATTACACTCAATTTATTCATTTTTTAAAATTATTACCGGTGTAAAATTATTACCGGTGTCGACGTGTTTCCTGACATACCAAGCTTTAGCTGTGCGTAATACAAAATCCACACCATAGTTTTAAAATCAGAAATAGGAAGCAATGTAATAAATCAAGTTAGACGACATGAGAATAATGTGTAATTGTGATTTTCAATGATATCTAAGGTGACCTCAAAACGGTAGAGATATGGTTGCTATGATTTTTTTGCTACGTATTAGCTGGAAACGAAGGGATTGGGGCCTGACCAATCTCAAAAAAGTTTATCCAACTTTTTAATAGATGATATGAGAAATTCCTAGGTGGCATTGCTGCCTACCATAGACAACCCATTCAAAACTAAACATCAAAACATGTAATGCTTTGTGGATCATGTGAGAAATGTAATGTCTTATTATTGAACATAACTATAAATTTTTTCTAGATCTCATCAGAAAATAAGTGTGTCATATTTCTAGTTGAACTATTTGATCAAAGTGAGTTACAAGACCTTTCAAAGGGTAACAAGGTGAGAGTTGCAATAAAGCAGCAATTGCAAGTTTTTCTAGATTTTTTCACAAAATGAGTGTCGTTTTCATTGTCAATTCAATTCTGAGGCTCCTTTTTGGTGAGCCATTATTTGATACTAAGCTAAAGTGTGCTGGTAAACGAGGGTGTCATTATTAGTCACTCTCAAAAACAGAGCATTTATCAAAATCATAGGTCCCAGCGGGTAACGGGTGGTGGGGGGTAAGGCTTAGGGCCAGTCACGGTGAGTTGTTTACACAATGATATGTGGCAACGGCCAATGTATACTTCATCCGTCCCCCACCAAGAATTAATTCCCTTTTCTTTTACATCAACAATTGATAAATTACACTGAAAGTGACACTCATTTTCTGATTTTTTATTATTTTTTATATAGGCTGTTAAATGTAGACAATATTTTCTTTTGGATCATAGTCACAAGTTGTATCTTGCCCTAATTCCACAAATTATTCTTCTCCCCATGGGATCTTGCATTTATTAGTAGACTGATTCAAAAAATTTAGGTGGACTGTTATAATTACTACACCATTAAAATTTTGATGAAGAGTGATGAATGAAGATGGTGATGAAGATGAAGTATGTAAAAAATATTAGATATTGATGGTGGACTGTTATAATTACTACACCATTAAAATTTAAATGTGTAAAATTTACTTAGAAAATCAAATGATTAAAGTTAAAAAAAAAATAAAGTTTTTGCTGTACACCTCTAAAGATATTGTTTCATCCACAATATTTAAAATTAAAAGTTAATAGAATAAATTAAATTGACTAATTGAATAATTTTTGAGAGACAAAAAAGTAATGTTAATTAGATAATAATTGAAGTGAAATTTTAAATTAAATTAAAAGACAAAAAAATAAATTAAGCCAAAAATTCAATCAGCGGATGCAATATCACATATTACAAATGTATAATGTATACACTTAAAAACAAATAATTTGCTAGTTGAAATCAGCGTAGGTGGTTTTATATCATTCAATGTTCTCTAAGTCGATAAGAGATTAATCTATGCATATACATCCAAATGTGACTGTAGACAAATCCATAAATAATGGAGCAAAACTAATTTTCAAAGATCACGTCGTTTTGACCAACATAATTAGTTTTTGCCTGTAAATTTTGGACTTGTAAATCTTTTTAACAAAAAAAACCAATCAAACAAGTTGTTTTATACATTTTTATCATTTATCTTTTCTGTATGTGTTTTTAGTTCATTAGCTCAAACTTCCGAACACCTTACTTAAAATTCTTTAGAGTAGTTTAGAAATCCATAATTGAGAGACCAAGTTCATTTTTCAGTGTATTCACTTGAAAAAAATGAACCGTTTTTTAGAGCTATTAGCCGATGACTAGATTAACTTTGTGGCTCAACAACAAATTTGACATGCTTGATGGCACATTATAGTCAAAACCATTGAAAACTTTAGTTCTCCAATTAAAGAAAATACATTTGGCAGATGCACATGTGTAATGAAAAATGTCTAAATAGTATGGATCAACCAACCACCTTCGTCAACATAAAAAAAACTCAAATCTATAAAGACCTAAAATATTGAGAATACCAACATCTTCAACTCTTCCCAATACTTATAAAGACGTGCCTATTGATCCATCTGATAATGTCTTTTATAAGACATATATAGACACCGGGATACATGATCATATATCAAGTCTCTCAACAATTCATTGTCATTGTTAAACTAATGGTTCATAATAAGGTTCGACAAATATAAGAGGTTAAACGAGCCAATTCTACAACTTTTGTATTTAAAGGTTAGATGTTGATTACTCAACACAACGGAAATAAATTTACCACCCACATGTCTCAATTAATCAAGGAAGACCTCTAAAATCTAATATATTGGTTCCAATCCATGTTGGTTCGGCCACACCAAGACCAGCTTATGGTTTATAGTGGTGAACAACAATGGATTATTGTTCCAATTTACCAATACGACATATCAATGGTATCATGAACTCTTATAAGAAACGATGAGGAGTTGAATAAAAAGCAACCATATGAGAATCCTCCAACCAATGGCGGATCTAGGAACTTCTTTGCAATGGGGACAAACAAATGAGGTGTTGATCTAGATTTTAACTCTTGGCATTTTTTAAGAGATTAATTATTATATGCTATAAATATAAAAAGTTTTATGCGATTAATGCATTACAATTGTTGGTTGAACTAGTAGTTATTGACACGAGATTTGATAGGAAAAATCACAGTTAAATTCCACTCAACTTCAATTAAAAAGGGGTTGAAATTACTTGATGTTAAAACTGATTTCTTAAAGGTATAGATAGTTCAATGGATTAGATATTGGTGGTGAAAGAAAAGAGTCAAACTCATAAAAATATATACATATCAATTAAATATTTTTTTAAAAATATTATCTGTAAATAAATTATTGAAAATTTTAAATCAACAACTTTTATTAAAAAACAATATAAACACATTTTAAAATTAATAGATATACATTTATTATTCATTTTTTTTAAGAAATTCAAATTAATATTATAAAGAGTTTTGAAATATGAAAAATTAAAATCAACTATATACATATAAAAAAAGTATTTTGACATATTAGTTTATCTCTTCTAATTTTAAATTTTTTTTTAAATAATTATTTATAAGGTAGAACTTAGTATTAGATATAAATATGTATTCAAATAATATTATATATATATATATATATATATATATATATATATATATATATATATATATATATATATATATATATATATATATATATATATATATATATATATATATATATATATATATATATATATATATATATATATATATATATATATATATATATATATATATATATATATATATATATATATATATATATATATATATATATATATATATATATATATATATATATATATATATATATATTTCATTCATGGAACCCTGTATACTAGATATAATTATTTATTCAAACAATATATTATATATAATTATGTTATTAATTTTCTTTTGTGGGGGCTAGAGCCCCTTATTCTTATACGTGCATCCGTCCTTGCCTCCAACAAAGATTTAAGATTTCCAAAATTTTCTGGAAAACATGTGGACACTAACTAGTAGTAGGTGAGGCAAGATCACTTATACATTATGTGAATGAAGATATGTTCATTATTTTTAGCTTTATTTTAATTAGTGTCCAGACGGGCACTCGAGTGTCCGTTTGTCCGCTTTTATAATTAATACACGTAAAAATTTAAATAAAAGTTATATAAGAAGTTAATAGTATGAAATTAGATAGAAAGTTAGTATGAAGTTAGATAGTAAATTAATAATAGGAAGTTATTTGAAAAATGAATAGTTTTAATGGAAGTTATTGTGAGTTATACATTAAAAGGGTAAAATTGGTAAAATAAAATAGGCTACACCAAAACACCATGTTTTGCCTTTATATATACTAGCGTCCAGACGGACACTTGCGTACCCGTCTGTCCGCTTTTTTATTGCACACATATAAATATAAATGATATATTTTTATTTAATATTAATTTTAAATGGAAGTTATGTGGTAAGTTATTAGTAGGGAGTTATATGAAAGATGCTAGTAGTAGTTCAATGGAAGTTATTGTGTAAGTTATATATTTTAAAATCAGGGTAAATTTGGTATAAAAAAAGCTACACTAAAAACCAAGTATTGCCTTTATATATGTTATAGATTATAGATGAAGAAAAAAGAATATATTAGAAGAAAGATTAAAGAAGAAATTTTTTAAAATAAAGTAATTAAGTTTTAAATTTCAATGAAACTGGATCATAGACATATGTACAATGTGCAATTTAGTAATTATAAGATCTGGGTACTTAAGAATTAATTATA